TAGTCAATTTGTTAAAGACTACTATATGACAGGCCGCGACATGTCCCTTATCGATCTTACCTATTTGATAATTGTTGTCGAATCAGCAATGATTTGGCGCACTGGTAACACAACTTTGATTGGAAGATCTACTTCCCAAACTTCCATCGACATTGACAATGGAAACACTGGAAGTCCAGAAAAGATTTCTCTTTCCAAGGAAAAGGGAAAGGCTAAGTCTGAGATTGTTCCATGTACCATTCCCAAAGTGTCCATATGTTTCTATTGCCAAGAGAAGGGGTATTGTTGCAAAGCTGTCGTGTCTGCCTGAAGGATCATAAGGATGGTAAAGTCAAAAAGTTTGACTCTGCTTCAGGTAAGTCAACTATCTAACTCTATTAAGTTCCTATTGGTAGATTCTTAATACATGATGTGATAAGATTACATTTTTATGTTTTGTAGGATCAAAGGATGCTACGAGTTATGATAGATTTCTTAGGAATATTTAGAAACATAGTTTTCATATGTACTTGCATTGTAAGGAAACGTTTTCCACATTTTATAAATAAAGAGAAAATTTGATTATATCTTATTTATATTTCCTTGCAATGGCATTTGTGAAAATTGATGTTTGTATGTTTCTATTTTTAGCAATATGGATTTGATTCTTTCATTTGTGGTAGTGTCATAATTTACCAAATAGGGAAGATTTTCATCACCCGAGTTTCAATTGTCTAGAAACTTGGAAGCGTGCAACTTGTATTGTGTGATGGATGAGAACCTTCGACTTTCGGAAATTAAGACTGATTCCTTGTTCACATGTATATGTGAATCAAGTGAAGGACTAGGGGATCGGGTACACTTGGTTGTGTACTGGTCAGGTGTACACAAAGAACGATATGACTCTTCGGCATGATTTACTAAAGTTTAGTAAATATGGTTATACTTACAAGATTGAGTGTAATTCTGAACCATTGGAAAAGTTTTGATGTATAGCAGAACGAATAAGAAGAATCTATTACGCAGAAAGATAAAAGTTTCTCCAATCTAAAAGGAAAGGAGAGTACATTAGTACCGTGTTTAATGATCATCTTAATGATTATGAAAACCATATCACAATTGATCCTATAAGGACACCTTAGTGCTCTTGTATGTCTAAGAAGAGGAATCGGGAATTGTTGAAATGGTTAAATCAATTAAGGTGAATCGTACTTCGTTCCAAAATCAAGTCTTAGAGTCATACTCGAAGATCATGCCTTGAGTGACATAATCTTAGGAAGGTTTATAACACAATCATAAAATGTGGAATGGAAAAGATGTTTTATTACTCCTTCACATTTAAAATTGGTTAATTGTGATGTCTTGGATAAGACAAAGACCAACTGAGACCAATTGTGTGAAGTGTTTTGTCTTGATAAGAAACCACACTAACGCTTGAATATTTGTTTGTCAAGTAACTTTTCTTGACAAAGAGAGTCTTTCATGTCAAGAGGTCAGTGGGAGTGTTAAAGATATTGAAAAGCTTCATTAACTAATCAAGAATAAACCTATTGTTAATCACTAGCACACAAATTGAGGTTTTTAACCTATCGTGTTGCCATATTCTTATTTTTGTGCACATTCCAGTTTAAGTTGACTATGCATGCGAGTTCTTTGAGTACTCAATTGTTTGCATACCAACTTGAAAGCAATGGTAGACCCTTGTGCTACCAGGTGGCAAGAAATTAAGATTGAACAAGTTCAGTCCATATGATTTTGGGATTTGTCACTAACCTTGTCTTGTGATTATGGTTACTACAAAGTCACATGTATAGGAACACATACACCATAAAATCTAAGTGTCATAAGGTTTCTCTCCAATTCATGAAAATGATTGTGAGGAAACACTTTCACTAAGTAGGTTTTAAGGAACATTCGGAACTTATTGTTGTATATTCTGAATTGTTTACACACATATGTGAGCTTTCTAATAAAAGGTGTATGAGCTTAGATAAAGGATTATCAAATCATCTCGTATCATAAATCTGAACTTTTGGTGAGAAAGTTAACAATTATTGATTTCTAGAAGTCGAACTGATTTCTGGGTACGTATCAAAGCTAGTGGGAGCATAAGTGTTATGCTAGTAAGATAATAATCATTATGCTAGTGGGAGTATGATTATTATGGTAAGTGTTGGGAGTTAGAAATGTTAATTATAGAAAACAAATTTTCAATTTGCAAAGTTATAGGGTTTGAGAATTTGTTTTGCTATAATTAAGGGAGAGGAACTTATACTTCATTTCACATCTAAAAGCTTAGATTGTGAGATTTTAATCAAATTTAGTCAAGGACGTATATGAATGTTATGTTGAAAATGTTTGACATAAGGAAATTCCATATATGGAAATGTTATAGCGAGAGACTGGTAACGTATCAGGTCTTTATGTAAGACATTATGAATCGTGTCCCATGTGCTTCGGGTATAGGATCGATTGCATATGCTATAATATTTATGTGTTATGAATTTTCCAAATGCCTAGGGCATTAAGAGGGAATAAGGACTAGAACCGGATATGGCTGAAGTTGTTAAACAATTTCTAAGGACAATCCTAGGTTCGCTAAGGATTGGTCACTTGAGGGCAGTTGGAAGTATAGTAATGAATGGACCATATTGATATAATTCTGAATAGATAGGATTCTATTAAGAATGGATAGTCATATAGAAATTATGGAAAAGTTTCCATAATGGGAGTTAGATATCAAGAATCTATGAGTAAGTTAGAAACTTTTATGCAAGAAGGATGTTTAAAGGAATGTACTTTCAATATGAGACTTTGTATCTATGGAATTGTCTTGTAACAATCTCCAATGGAAAGTTTTGTAACTGGAAAAGTCACATGTCACACCCCAAAACCGGAACGGCGGAAACGTTCTGGGGTGGAGGACCTCATGTCAAGTATCACAACATATGCAGTATAATAATCAAAGTACAACAACCATTGCATTAATAGTAAAATTTTTACGTGAGTTACATTTAGCAACAACATCAAAAGTAAATACAGAGAATAACATAAGATGCAGCTTGGTACTAGGCTGACTTCGCAAAAGCTCCCGGAGTGTACCTGGCTACGGATGACCTGAGAATACAAGTTATTTTGAAAGTGAGTATCAACATTTTTAAATGCTGGTGAATTCAGAAGTATTTAATGACATTGGTATAAATACGTGTTTTACTTCAAAAATATCCGAGCTTGGCTACTGCCGGTGTCAGCATCTGCTCCTGCGACTTTGAGGATTAATGACGGTCGTCACGGCCGGGTAGATGCGCCTGCAGCGAAGAACAGGTTTTCAGCTGACAGCAGAGGACGACGACAAGGGTAAAGATTATGTAATTTTTGTTTTCTTCGGGTTTAAGTATTTACAGTTTTTTTTTTCTTTTTCTCCTCAAAGTTCTTTGCTAATTTCTTTTATTTAACGGGTTTATAAGAATATTTTTTCTTTTAATTAACAAGTTTGAAAAATCAAATATAAATTAAGATATTTATAAATCAGATTTTTTCCTGGATAAGTATCTACTAAGATCCAAATAAATCTTCATATATATTAGCCATTAAACTAATTTTTAACAGGTGTCCATATAAAAATAATTATATAACTTATAAAAAAATTCAAAAATAATGGGTGTCCATGGACACGCTTGGCCTATAGGTGGGATCTCCCTTGTTTCTACCCATATTCTATATGTACTGTGCATAAGAAACTAAAAAAATCTAATTACCTAAAATACCCCTTCCCTAAGAAGATGCTATTTATTTTTCTAAATCACCCATAATTTCCATGTTTATAAGATAGCAGAAAAAATGCATTGCTTTTTTTTTGGATTTATAGTGTGGTATTAGTAACTGTGTTAAGTTGCATTGCATTAAAGTAAGATGGTAAAAAATAGTCATTTTACCCCTAAATAGAACTTATTTTGTTTCCCTCTTGTAGTTTATCGAGGAATGTAGAACGTTAATGGTGGAGTATATAGTATCAGACGAGGAGTCTATGGTTTCTTGGTGTTTCTCATGGAGCAATACCATGTAAGAGATGCTTGACACAATTATCACATTAACCATTGTTAATTTTCGTAAGTTCATTAAATCCAACATTAGTTTTCAAACTTAGACCAATTTTACAAATATATTTGGATAAATATTCTATACTATGTTATTCTGGCAATTAATGATCGACCATAATGGATATTTACCACCAAACTTGATCATCGGGAATCATTCGCCCATTTGAAGTTTGTGCATGTGTTATGTTTCTTGCATGCTTATCAAAATTCATTCAACTGTCTTTGATATGTTCTAAAACACATATTGCGTTAAAACAAAAAATGAATCCAAATATACTTTAAATGCAAATTCGCGATAAATATAGCACAATGTGCAAATATCAAAACACCAGGTATGAGTAATCCAATAATCATCAATATAAACTTTCCGACAGAACTTTCAAAAAATCAAATATTTTTCGTTGAGCTTTCTTAAACTTATAGATTACAACTCGAGGGAATGTAAAACGATAAATATGTGTACAATTTTACCTTATGTACGTTATTAACATCAGTTTCTTCACGTCATTTAATTTTAAAATAAATATAATTGTCGGTATATATTATTGTTATGATTTCATTTAACATAATCCAAATGTATCTTTTCGTGAAACCATTAATTTTGTAGCCAAACATTATAATAAGTGTGTGCTAATTACACCCTTTCATGTTGAAAGGCTAAAAAAATGAATATGGTATACTCAACTGGGAATAATCACAATATCAAATGATAGAAAATAATTCTCACTTAAACACGAAAGAAAAATGTTTCAAGTGTTTTTGAAAAAAATATAAATAAAGATATTGTGGCCATTTACAAATAAGAACTGTTAAAAAAATAGTTATTTATAGTAATGAGTACTGTGGCCATTTACAAATAATTAAGAGCTGTTAAAAAAAACTACAAATAAAAAATCAGGTACAACTTTGTTCATCAAGCACCAAAAGTGTCATTTTGCGTAATGGTTGGGCTGTATGTGATGATATGTACAATTTTAGGGGGAGGTTGATGCAAATCACCATCGCTGGAGATCAGGGTTAGGGTTGACGCCCACATTTTTCTTACTATATATATATTAGATGTTCAGTTTCATTTTAATACGATTTCACAACCGCTGTCATAATCGACCCTGTGAATCTAATAGCATTCACACGGAATATTTTTTCTATATGTTCAAAGTATTAAACTACTGGCTAACAAGGATGTGCATATCTGAAAATCATCCATTGTTTTGATAAAATTATCGATCTGCGTCTTTTTCGGTCATCATAATCACCAAGACTTTTATGTGTCGATTACGAAAAAAAAATTCTCTATCATGCTTCTAGATCCAAAAACTAGCAAAGATCCACAATATTTTAAAACAAAAAACATGTAAGTCAACTGATACGTCAATTTATACCATTCTGAATCATGTGTTTTGTAGCTGTTTTGTCCTTTTTTTGTTGTTTCGAAGTTTATATATGTTGTTCGCCTGTCACTCACACTATTTTTTTGATCTGTTGTCAGTCTAGTAGAATCAGATCGGTACCAGTTAGGTGTTCATAGCATTTCAAGAGTCGGTTTTGTGGGTTTGTCCAGAGGCCACTCTACCTAGCTTACCCTTTCAAAGGTAAGTTTATAATATGTTTTCTTATGTAATTGTTTTGATGCCAATAAATTTTTAATTCTCAACTTTCCAATTTATGCTATATCAAGTAACGCTTAAGTAAGGTCTAAATCTGACATCTTGTTCCATTCTTACAGAATGATGTTTGGAGATGATGGCGATGTTGACAGAAGTTGGAGATCTGATCACTAGATCTTGACATGCTCATTCCTTAAATATATATCAATAAATTTGGTCCCTGTAGTATAGTGCTTGTTTTAGTTTTGGTACAAGGTTAAAATGGTCATTCAAAAAAAATCCAATTATGCTGCGTTTTCATTTCTGATTGTTAGAATTATCCTCCTTGCAGTGTGAAAGGGAATATCATATACGGTGTTTGAGGGAACACAAGAAGATGTATCTGAAGGTGTGTTAATTTGAATCTGAATTTGCTAAAATTATCATCGTTTTTCACTCGATTTAATATGAGATTGTTGATCTGAAGGTGTGTTTTCATTTCGGAGGGATCGGAATCGGAATCACATATTCCGATGTGAAGTGGATTGCTTTCCTTGGGAAAGATGTGAAGTGGAATGGTGACATTCTAAGGAACATCTTTGTTAGAAATGGAGGTGGTGGGTCCTCAAGGTGGAATTACTTTTCAAGATGGTTTTTGTTTGTCTTTGCATGGATAAGTAAAGTAAATAATGAATGAATGAATAATGAATACCAATTTGGTGGATTTATATTTGATGGTTTTAAAATATAGATTTGATGTATGTTCCAGATTTTCCTTTGTTGAATATGTAATTATTGTTAATTTTTTCATGAATTTATATTTTTTTTTTATATCCAAAACTCGCCGCTAGCCTATCACATAAACTCTATCTGTAATCTATTAGTGAGTTTTTCTTAAATTTCGTCGATAGTCCGTTAGTGAGTTATTCTTTTGGTAATTTTTACAATAAAGTATATTTGTCATTGATCGGTTACTAATAACCGACGTAAAAATTCGTTGCTAAAATTTGTCGTAGCCGTCGGAAATCCGTTGCATATATGATATGCCTTTTTGGGAATCAGATGTATGATCAATACAGTACACCTCTATAACCTTCTTTCCACGTCTAATACAAGCATCATAAAACCAAACATAGACCTGTCTAACTCCTTAGATTGTTCCGAGTAAAATAAACTTACTCTTCTATAACCATACCTAAAGTAGATTAAAAAAACTTTTTATGTAAAAAAATTAATAATAAATAACTTTAAAGGTGATAATAAACCTTCAATGGCTCGATGATATCACAATCATTTTTTATTTCATAATCACCTTTAAACTCATCATTATAAGAAAATTATGAAGCAAAATTAGTTTTATACTACTTGCACACTTTTTATCTCAATGAAAATATGAATGTGAACAAGATCAAGAGTTATGCATCAAACTAAAAGATTGTAATAATCAAACTAACATTTTCTTGTATTCGTTAATCTAAAAAAGGTATGGTTCAATAAACAAATTAGATGCGTCCAGATAAAATGAAACTCCACCAACACGCCACAACGTCGCTGCCGCCGCTCCTTTGCCATCTAAATGTCACAACGTCGCTGCCGAAGACGCCGTGACCAACCCGGAAAACCGCTGAAGGACGACAAAAGGACGTGTTCGCTGCAGCAAGGGCGCGAGCTACCGAGAGGCTTCAGGTAAGACCATCTACCACTTCTCTCTCTCCACTCCTCCGTAACTTTATGCGTGTTCGACGTCAGATGCGTCACCGATGCCGCCGGTGGCCTTTAGCCACTATTTTCTTAACTTTCTGGCAACGTCAGCCACATGGAAGGTGGCTGGTTGGATGTATGTCTAGAATATATGCTGCTGTCGGTGTTGTTGCTGCTGTAGGAGCCATTTTTGGCCGGAAAATCAACGAAGGTCTGTGACCACCACCATGAGGTGGTGGCTGCTACCGTTTTGCCGCCACTAACCACTATCTCCGGTGGCTATGTGTGTGTATATATTATGTGTGAAGTGGTATACACAGTTTTTGGGCAGGAACCACCACCACCACCATTGGAAATGGTGGTTGCCGCCGTGAGCAGTCACCGACCACCACCGCCCGAGGTGTCAGTGGGTGGTGTCCGGCCTAGTGGAACCCTAATTGGCCCAATAGCTTAATATTGGACTTAGTTGGATTGTGATTGGGTTAGAAACCGTATTTAGGGTTTAGAAAACCCTAATTCTGGGAATGTAAGTTTGGGAATTGCCGAGACTCGCGTTTAGACTGTTATACTGGAATTTTAATGTATGTCCAACTACATTGAGTGAATGGCCTAATGGAGTGATGGACTTAATGTATTAAGCGCTTAATGGGTTAAGTCCTTATTGGGTTAAGTAAGTATACTTAACCCTAATCGTCATTTCATGTGAGAAACCCTAACTTTGCTTGGGCCTTGAGTTTGATCTTTTTATTGGGCTTTGGTGATGGGGCTACTGATGGGCCATCCAAAAACAAGCATATGGACTATAATATTTAGATTAAGCTTTAAGATAAGGCCTATTGGATATGCTTGGGCCCAATTGGGAAAATTAGGCCATAGATGGACCATAATAGGGCCTTGATGATTGTGAGATATTGGATCAGTGGGTTGCCAAGTGTTTTGTCACACCCTCAAAATCAAATGAATGGCGGAAACATTCTGGGGTGGAGGACGTCATGTACAGTATCACAACAATGCAAGTAGTAAACAAGCAACAACATCATCCATTGCATTAATAATATAATTTCATACAAGTGTGTTCTGTTAAGTTTTAAAGACACCAAAACAATATACATCAAAAATATAAGATGAGTCTTGAATAAGCTCCATCTTCTCAAAACTTGCTCCGGTACCTGTCTACTGGTGACCTGAGAATACAAGTTATTTTGAAAGAGTTTATCAGCTTTAGAGCTGGTGAGTTCATAAGTATATTAGTGTCTGTGTTTGTATGAAAGCATTTGTAAGATGTTTTGTAAGATGTACTTTCTGTGTTTGTAAAAGTTTTGTATTTGTTTGAACTATCCTAGAAAACCCTATGTTTCCTACTAAAAGTAGCCTTCTACCAAGGCATCTAGTGTATGTGTGTGTATCTTTTGTAAAAGTGAATATTTTCCCAAATCCGACTATCATTAACCAAAAATATATTTTTAGATTATTGTTTATTGTGTGAAATCACAAAGTATAATGTAAAAGGGAAAATGTTATAGTACTTTAATGTAGTTTATGAAAAAACACTGCTGTACTAACTACCTTAAGCCAATTGTATATTTTAAGGTAACATGTGATCGGCCTGTATCTTGCTACCGACTCAATAGTAAAGTGACAATGTAAGATGCCACAAAAATGACGTTTGGCACCCGTAGACTTGCAAGTCCCACTGTAGCGATCAGCAAGGTGTAGGATAGTCAATCCAGTATAGATCTATACACAAACTCATACGCTCCCCAATTAAGGAGATTCTGATACAAAAACAGTCATGGCAGGTAGTGCCATGCCCTGTTTAATGGCTCACATAAATGTATTAATGTAAATGTTATGTGAATTGTGTGCTAGCTGTATTGTGTGTTCTTTCTCTGTCTAGCCTGTATGTCTGTTTCTCATCACTCTGTTTCATGTTTGTTTCTCATCACTCTGTTCTATGTTTGTTTCTCATTATAGTATGTATTGACTCATGTATGAACTGACTCATTGTATGTTTCATCGTTCTAGTAATAGTATCTTCCTAAACTACCCCTATGGCAGCTTACTAGCAATGTATGAACATGTTTGTATACCCTTGCTACCCAAGGGCATGGACTTGAATGAAGGAAAACCTTTTATATATATATATATATATATATACATATACATAATATATAACTAGGATTCAAACGACCTTCGGACAACTAACCTTGATACCCTAAGACCACAATCAAACAAGAACAGGAAGCAGGGTAGACTAGCAGTCCTAAGTCCTTTCAATCCTACTTATATAACTATATCTATATAGATACACATAATATAAGTTAAAATAGTTTGATAAAAGTACTTGACAATTTAAAAGAGTTTGATAAATGTATTTGACAATAAAAGAGTTTGTAAAACAGTTTGAGGTAAAACAGTTTGATAAACAGTTTGAAAAGTAAGAAAACCATTTGCTTGGTAGCTATTAATCACATGTGATTGATATAATCACTATAATTGTTCAACTTGTATTCCCCCCCCCCATAAAAGCATTTAAAAACATTTAAAAGGTTAATTAAGGGGTATGAACTCACCTGTAGTGAGTGGTTCAGATGAACTGAAGAGATAGGATTGCTAGGTGTCAAGTGAAGACTTTAAACAACTAATTAGCAAAGTTAAGACATCCTAAGACAAGTTAAACACTTTATATAAGTGTTATAAGTCCCAAGGAATGCATCTAAGTGTTGTAGAACAAGTCTATAGGGTTTAGGGTTCAAAAGAAACCCTAACTTGAGTTTACGGTTTTGTGACCTCAACCCAATAGGTTTACAGTCGTAAACCCTAAAGTTTACGGGCATAAACTCCCCCTCTTACGACCATTTGTTGATTTGAAGGTTTCTAAGTCCATTGAAGTGTTTCCACTTGAAGTATAAGCCTAAGGGAAGCAGAAGCTAGGGCACCATTTCACCCCTTAAAAGGAGTTTACGGTCCAAAGACCACTTCCCTTTGGGTTGACGGTCGTAAACCCTCATGGATGATGGTATTTTGATGATTTCAAGTCATTAACACATCAAGGTAAGGATCTAAGTGAGTTACCTACGCTTAGGAAGGGACTAGGGACATTTTGGTCCCTTAAGATGGGTTTACGGTTCAAGAATGTTCTTGGACCGTAAACACCATTTTCTAGTTGTTCTTGGATGTTCATGTTATAAGAAGTATATCAAGCTTAAACACACTCTAGGATAGAAGTACTTACTATATGGAAGCTTGGAATGAGCCAAAATGCCAAGAACACTAGTGTGTGTTCTTGGGTTCTTGTGTGTTGAAAATGGAAGGAAGAAATGAAGAAAAGAATCAACTTTTGGAAAGATTTCACGGTTTAGAAGGGTGTTAAAACACTAGATTAAGTGATCTACTAACTTGAAATGGTTGAAAACACTTACTAGATCGAGATTTGAACTAAATCTCGGATGAGATATTGAGAGGATTTGCTTTTGTTCTTGAGAATTTGAAAAAAAATGACATAAAAATGACTCAGTGTCATATATATACTCCAAATTTCTGGGTTTTTGGCTGAAAATATTTTATTCCGGCTAGGAGTAAACTCCCATTCTTGAAGTTTAGGAATAACAGTGTTGCCACTATACACCTAGGCATCCCTCTCTCCTGGTACTCCTAAAGTGTTAAATCCTAAAATACAAACTTAATCCAAAAAGTCTGAAAATTTAACTGTAACTGATTTGACTTCTATTGAATTGACATGTTGTACAGAATAGAAATTTCGGGTTGTCACATCATCCCCTCCTTAGAAGGAATTTCGTCTCGAAATTAGAATTTAAGCAAATAAGTAGTTACAAAGAACTAAGTAAAAAGACGAGGATATTTCAGTTTCATCTGATCCTCTCGCTCCCAAGTGAATTCAGGTCCTCGCTTGGCGTTCCAGCGAACCTTCACTATCGGGATGCGACTTTGTTTCGTTTGCTTGACCTCCAGGTCCATGATCTCTACTGGTTCTTCCACGAAGTTGAGGCTCTCGTTGATCTCGATCTTGTCGAGTGGTATTACAAGAGT